CCATAGATTTTCAGAGGCTGCAAAAATGAAATAGAAAGAAATTTAGTTAGAAATTACAGAGAAAGACAATAAAATTTATTGCTGATCCATAGCAGAGGCTGAAAGATGTAATATGACCGACTGAAGCAATATGAAAATAAAGCAATGAAAATAAGATGGAAAAAAAAGTCAGAAAATAAAAAATAACATTTAATTTAAGAAATACAGACAACATAAGCCTATTATATTGATTACTACAATGAATGGTTTAACGAGTATGGTTTGGTTTTGTTTGATTTAGTTTAGTGGCATATCAACACCAATTGGTTATTTAGTGCTGAAATCTAAGTATTTTGTACATAATTTTATACTTTCAAGGCAAACATATGTTTTTACATATATAGTCTGTTGTAGATGATAAAATGTATTGTTGGTAAATTTTTTTTGCTGGTAATTTCACTACCAAAATATATTGTTGATAATTTTTTTTATAAAAATGTACTGCTGGTAATTTTACTATAACAATGTATCTTTATACTTTTTTTTTTTGTATTGATTGTATTTTGCTATAAAAATGTATTGTTGGTAATAATTTTTCTTTTATAAAATGTATTGCTGGTAATTTTACTATAACAATGTATCTTTTATACTTTTTTAGTGTTGTATTTATTGTCATTTTGCTATAAAAATGTATTGTTGGTAATAATTGTTTTTTTTATAAAAATGTATTGCTGGTAATTTTACTATAACAATGTATCTTTATACTTTTTTTTAGTGTTGTATTGATTGTGATTTTGCTATAAAAATGTATTGTTGGTAATAATTGTTTCTTTTATAAAATGTATTGCTTAATTTTACTATAACAATGTATCTTTATACTTTTTTTAGTGTTGTATTGATTGTGATTTTTGCTATAAAAATGTATTGTTGGTAATAATTGTTTCTTTTATAAAAATGTATTGCTGGTAATTTTACTATAACAATGTATCTTTATACTTTTTTTTAGTTGTATTTATTGTCATTTTGCTATAAAAATGTATTGTTGGTAATAATTGTTTCTTTTATAAAAATGTATTGCTGGTAATTTTACTATAACAATGTATCTTTATACTTTTTTTAGTGTTGTATTTATTGTCATTTTGCTATAAAAATGTATTGTTGGTAATAATTGTTTCTTTTATAAAAATGTATTGCTGGTAATTTTACTATAACAATGTATCTTTATACTTTTTTTTAGTGTTGTATTGATTGTGATTTTGCTATAAAAATGTATTGTTGGTAATAATTGTTTCTTTTATAAAAATGTATTGCTGGTAATTTTACTATAACAATGTATCTTTATACTTTTTTTTAGTGTTGTATTTATTGTCATTTTGCTATAAAAATGTATTGTTGGTAATAATTGTTTCTTTTATAAAATGTATTGCTGGTAATTTTACTATAACAATGTATCTTTATACTTTTTTTTTTAGTGTTGTTTGTGATTTTGCTATAAAAATGTATTGTTGGTAATAATTGTTTCTTTTAAAAATGTATTAATTTTACTATAACAATGTATCTTTATACTTTTTTTTAGTGTTGTATTTATTGTCATTTTGCTATAAAAATGTATTGTTGGTCATTTTGCCTTAAAAATGTATTGTTGGTCATTTTTGCCTTAAAAATGTATTGTTGGTAATTTTTGCCTTAAAAATGTATTGTTTGTCATTTTATTATAAAAATGTATCGTTGGCTATCTCTATCTATAAAAGGCAGGATGTGTGTGTGTAACGAAGGCACGGTGCTTCCCCGAGAGAACCTGCGTTCATCGGCAATGATAGAATGTAATTTTTGGTAATATAGTCTAGTGCAATCTAGAATAGTCCCCTGAACCCTACGGTGCCACAAGATACCGCTCGGGGTTGCACGAGAAACGGTGACAAATAGGCTAATGCATTTTGAGTAACTTCACTTACTTTCACTCTCTCTAGTCCTTCGCGAACTACTGGCACTTCCACCTTGCTTTGGTTGAAATCCTTATTAAAAGAAATACAATTGAAAACTTGTATCCTTCTCGTGGGACCGCCTTGACACATTACAACAACTCCTCCTCCTTTATACTCGGCAGCTATCCTCAATATTTCTTTAGTTGCTAAAGGAGTAGATCAGCCTGACCTTCTTTCTGTCGAAAGGGTAGAGAGAACTGACCTCATGGCATTCTTTTCCTGGTTTATATTGAGTTCAGAAAGTGGTAGGGACTTGTGGTGAGTGACTGTAGGATTGTCTTTCGTTTTGGTACAGGGTTTTTGATATATATATTTTTATTTGCTTATCCAAGCATCTGGTTTCCGAAATGATGTTAGCAGATTAACCTGTCCTTAAGAACGTTGGTGTTATGTCTAACGAGGCGTTAAGTAGATGATACTTTTCCGGGGATTTATAAATATTTTTTATTGTACTTAGTTTATTAAAATTTTTTAAATATTATTATTAAATATTTAATAAAAAATTAAAATTATTTATGAAAATATTAAACTATTACAATTCTATTTTAATTTTAGTTATTGTTGTAAAACTCTTATTGTGCATAACAAGATCTACGGTAAAAAGGAATAATTTGTTTGTGACATAAGCCGGTAGACATTAATTTCACTGTTCACATTAATTTCACTGAAACAGCCGTATCCATTAAATATAGCAATTATAATATATATATGTGTGTGTGTTTATATATATATATATGTGTGTATGTATGTGTGTGTGTGTATTGTGTATATTTAGGCAGCAATTTTTCATTGTTGCATGTTCCATTAAATAATATAGACAAGATTTGTCTATTGATTTTAAGTTCCTTTCATGTTGTCTGATAAGATTAATAAGATTATCATTGAAAGACGAAAGGAAATCACCATATTGATACATGTTTAAATCCAATCTAAGCTTTCGGCTTACATAAGCCATCATCAAAGATGACAACTGCATTTCAATATATCAAACAATACACGGACGAAACAATAATGATAGTCTGTTTTTGTTGCATGAAAAATTTCAAAGCAACGACAAAATTCGTGTATACGAGACGCGGAAGCGAAAATCGCCTCGCAGATCGTGACGTCACACATGATCACGAGAGAGTGAAAACGAGAAGTATTAAGTATGGGAAGCTAATGGCTTCTTTTTTCAATTATAGGCATTTAAGAATATTTGTGAAGATTTCGTAGTTTATTTTGTTCAGGTTGGGTTTTAACTGTTTTATGTATATAGCTTCAAGAATTTTTTATTTTTGTTTATTGTTTTCATGTTTAAGTATAGTTGTGTTTACAACGAGGATTTTCCAGAATTGTGTACGCGGGCAGGCATGTTGTTTTAAATGCCTAAAAATGTTAGAGTTATCATTCAAATATATATATATCAGCATATATATATATGTGTGTGTGTGATTGAATAAATTACAAACATTACATCTACACTATTTAGATTATTCGGACTATTGTCCTCATCTTTGTCGCCGTATTTATTACAGCGTTTCGGCCGTTGTACGTTCCGGGCTTCTTCAGGTAGTTGGAATTTCGAACTGAACCTTTTATTTCGATCACTGGGGTAGACTGTTCTAGTTCCACGTGCCATGATTTTAATGGATGTCATTTATCAGTTATCTCCTGTTAATTCCTCTCTCCAAGGGCACATGGCACAGTGGATAAAGGCGTTGGTTAGATCCAGTGACAGGACCCAAACAGTGTGAGTTCAATACCCGGTTAAGGCAGAACTTGGAAAGGGGAATTAACAGGAGATAACTGATAACTGACATCCATGAAACACGGCACGTGGAATATGTATATATATATATATATATATATATATATATATATATATATATATATATAGGTCCTCTCTACCCTTCTGTACGCTTGCGAGACGTGGACTTCAAATGCCTGGAACGGTTCAAGGAAACGAATATCCGAGGAGTCCTTCGCACCAGCTGAGAGGTCTGTATCACTAACAACGAGGTCGTCTTTTGGACATCTCTCCCCTCCACCGAGGTTATCATCCTTTAGCATTGTCTCCGCTGGGTGGGCCACGTGTTCAGAATGCATCCTAGTCGACTCCCTCCTATCGTCCTGTTTGGAGAGCTCGCCGGCAACAAGAGGCGACGCGGAGGCCTAAAACGACACTTCAAGGATCAGTTGAAAAGATCCCTGACACAAGCCAACATCGACACTGAGACAAGCGAAACCGTTGCTACGAATTGGCCTTGGAGAGTCTAACAGGAGGATAGATTATGCAAAAACTAAAACGTGCAGGCGGATATATGAGTGGCGTCAACCCTCTCCCAGAATATGGATCGATGGAGTGTCTTTCATGTGGGGAATGTGACCGCATTTGATTTTCAGAAACAGGTCATCTCAGCCACACGCGGAGTCATTGTGATGTCAACTATAAATATGACATCCTTGATGATCCTACATATCAAATCTGCCATAATGAGTGGCGATCAGCCTGCGGACTCATACATCATTTCCACAGCCAGCATCCAGAAAAGGCACCCTGCAGTAGAAAGACTGACATGTCGGAAATGTGGGAAGAAGTGCAAGACTCTTGCAGCTCTTAAAAGCCACCTAAGATGCCATCAACGACAAAGAGATGACAGTTAAAATGTGCGAAAAAATTAAGAAACAGGTGGCGTTACTCGGTCACGCCATGTATGTATTTAGGTATATTATTGAAAATCTGCAAAATTTATAAGAAATGACGGACTACTGTTGTTGATAAATAGAGGTCAGTGTGGATATAGGAATCAACCCTTGCATTATAACTGTCGGTTTCATGCTTTCATTAAGATTGCAATGAAGCGTGAAACAGACAGTCGCCATGCAAGTGTTGATTCCTGTATTCACACTGTCTCTTTCTCTTTCTCTCTCTTTCTATCTGTCTGTCTCCTTTTTCTCACTCTCTATATTTATATATATATATATATATATATATATATATATATATATATAGAGAGAGAGAGAGAGAGAGAGAGAGAGAGAGAGAGATATGACAGAATGAGATAGATAGATAGATAGATAGATAGATAGATAGGTGCAAGTGTTGATTCCTTTCAATTCTCTCGGCAAGTGTCGATTCCTATGTCCCCACTGTCTCTTTCTCTGTCTCTGTCTGTCTATCTCTCTCTATCTTTCTCTCATATTACATATATATATATATATATATATATATATATATATATATATATATATAAAAAACCAGACCTAAAAAAATTGTTTGAGGAACCCGGCCTTCTAGCATATAGTAGACCTAAGAACCTAAAAGAAATCATAGGTAGTAACCTCATTTCAGGGGACAAGGTAATCCGTAATAAACTAACAACAAAAACAACAGGATTTTCCCAACCATGTAACAACAAAAGAAGCTTATGCTGCAACCACATTAAACACACGAATTCATTCACTAGCTCAGTCACTAAATCTACTTTCAAAATCTACCACGACTCTAACTGAAGAAGTCATAACATAATTTACCTCCTAGAATGCACACTATGCCAGAAACAATATGTAGGAAAATCTGAATGGCCCTTTCACTACAGAATTAATAATTGTTGCAGTCGAATTAAGTCGGCCCCACATGAAAGATTATTACCTGTAGAACAACATTTCCGTCTAGAAAAACACGATTTTAAAACCCATGCAAAATTCACTATAACCGAGAGAATAGAAAAGTTCAGAGCAGATAACATTAGAAAGATTTTAGAGTTCCATGAAAATAAGTGGATACAACGTTTAAAAACACACTATCCAGCCGGGCTAAACCATAAATTTAACAATATAGATAGTATTAATATATAACCCAACAAATCAAAACCTACCCACATTTCTCACCCACACAAGACAGACATGCTTACGGAAGTGTTGAGGACTCACACTTATACACACACCCACACGAACATACACACTTACACACACCATACTCACTCACTCCCTAATGAGCCAAATGATAACACACACCTATAATAATATACACGCTTACACACATCATACTCACTCACTCCATAAGAACCAAATAACACACACTTAACAGAGACACATCCCCTTTCCAGGAACCAATAAAACTGTCAAACTGACCAAAGGAATTCAGAGCAGCATGAATCCATCCAGCTCTTATCTCAAATAACAACTTAAAAGTGACTGTTTGACCAACACAAGATCTGACCAAAATTCATGTTAAAAAAATTAAAAAAAATAATAAAACAAATGAGAACTACAGACAAAAGTTCATTTTCTGCATCAAGACATTCGTTTGTGTAGTTCACTGCAACCAGCAAGCAGAAAATTATTTTTCTCCTGATGATGGACATGTTGGCCGAAACTAGTCGAGGAATCAAAATGAAATAAAATTGAAAACGAAGGAATATTGATATACAACCCAGTGTGTCTGAAGATTTTAATGTTTTAATTTTTTAATATTTTTTATTATTTAATATATATATATATATATATATATATATATATATATATATATATATATATATATATATATATATTATATATTCGCATGTGTGTAAATAAATATGCTTGATTTTAAAATGGCATGCTTACAAGTATGCTTTCAAAAACAAAAGCAGTATAACGTGGACAGTTCAGTTTTATGAGGCGCAGCAAAGTTTTTGACTAATACACAAATTCTCCAGGTGAGGATCATATTTGTTTACTAAGATGAGCTTTGTCTGACACACCGTAACATTAATGGGACATCTAGTCAGTATCGAACGTACACCTACTGCACAGTTGGGCTATTAGACAAGCTTGCTCAAACTTGGCGATGCGATAAGTAACCTGAATAATGATCACGTTTCACAAGAAATTATTGACTGTCAAAATGAAATTGGTTTCTAAGATGTTAATAGACACAGACGGAAAAGGGATTAGATAGATAGATAGATAGATAGATAGATAGATAGATAGATAGATAAATAGATAGATAGATAGATAGATATGAACAGACTCAGATAGAGATAGATAGATAGATAGATAGATAGATAGATAGATAGATGGTATTTATCAATTCACCCACAGGAATTGAATGTGGCACAAGGCCTTTTTAATGTGGGTATGTCTGAGCACGTAGGCCCAGCCAAATAGATAGATAGATAGATATGAACAGACTAAGATAGATAGATATGAACAGACTCAGATAGATAGATAGATAGATAGATAGATAGATAGATAGATAGATATGAACAGACTCAGATAGATAGATAGATAGATAGATAGATAGATAGATAGATAGATAGATAGATAGATGTAAACAGACTGAGATAGAAATGAAAAGACTGAAATAGACATTATTTACATTATTCGGAGTATTGTCCTCATCTTTGCCGCCATATTTATTACAACGTTTCGGCCGTTGTACGTTGTGAAAGGACCCAAAGAGTGTGAGTTCAATACCCGGTTATGGTAGATAACTTTCAGAGGGAAATTAACAGGAGATAACTGATAAATGACATCCATTAAACATGGCACGTGGAACTAGAACAGTCTACCCCAGCGAGCGAAATAAAGGGTTCAGTTCGACATTCCAACCACCTGAAGACGCCCGGAACGTACAACGGCTGAAACTTTGTAATAAATATGGCGACAAAGAGGAGGACAATAGTCCGAATAATGTAAATAATACCTCATCTCAGAAATATATATATATATATATATATATATATATATATATATATATATATACTTGCAAGTAAGTCTATATTTCTGTCTCGGGTGTTATAAAACAGTGCTATTCAGTCTATATTAGTAAATATACCTCACTGCTGATTCTTTGGACTTTATCAAGCAGCTCCAGGTAAATAGCAGGGGTATCCGACTATACGTGGCAGCAAAATTCTAAGCATGGACGAATGGTAGACTTATAGATATGCAAGATAGATTCTGGAGAGAAAACTTGTCTTGCACGACGCAGTGAACTAACTTTCTTAACAGCTGACATAGCAATGGATTCAATATAGTCTTTGCACTGCATGTCAGCCAAGAGCATTAGCCAGAGAAGGCACAACGAGTCACTTTCGTAATGGAAAGCAGAGAGGTACATTTTCCATTTACAATACCGGGTTAGCGGTTTTCTGCTTGCTGCATCCGTCTGGTAGTATAGAGCCTGAAGACTTTGGTAGAATTTAGAGTAGCTCCACTTGCCAATTGTCGTATGATATCGGGAGTTTTGCAGTACTATGTCGTGCTAGCCCTGTTGGCTGGGGCTGTAGAATACGCCGACTGTATCTCTGCAGAGGGGTAAGACCTACCCCAATGGGGCCTCCTGGGTATGACGATAAACTACATCCGCGTCCAGGGTAAGACGATAAACTACGTCCAACAGCAAGGTCTCTGATCAGGAGGCTTTGAGGAGCGTGAAACCTCCGCTTAATTGCTGGTGTTCCCATGTCCACTCTGAACCGAGGTGGTAGCACCTGTTAGGGTCCCAGCTATGGGCAAATAGTTAACCCAGAAACTGAGGTAAAATGCTTTATAAAAGTGTAAAAATAGGTTTTAATACCAGAAATACTTTGTAAAAAATTATTACCAGAAATAAATTTTTCAGGAAAAAAAATATTACCAGCAATATGTTTTTGAAAAAACATTACCAACAATACGATTTTTGAAAAAATAATATTACCGGCTATACATTTTTGCAGAAAAAATATTAACAGAAATAAATTTTTGACAAAACAAAAATATTAACAGAAAAAAGTTGTTGGCCTTAAATGACCCATTGAGGTTGATAGACCGTAAAACAAACCAAACCCAACCATATCGTGCATAGACAGGTGTTCCTGTATGTACTTCCCATAGACAACCGTACGGTCACATTATAATGATTTTCACTATTTACGTCATTCGAACTGTTGTCCCTATCTTTGCTATCACATTCCCGACGTTTCGGTTGTACGCTCCGGCCTTCTTCAGGTGATATTTGTTCGAATTTCGAACCTAGTACTAGGATCCTCATCAATTTTTATTCATCTATTTTTTTTTAACGAAAAGAAATGATAATATTTTTTTTTATTATATCTTCATCACTTTTTTATTTCCATCCTTTTCCTCGTCTTTTTTTATTATAATTAGGAAAAAAAAATTCTCTACTGTCATCTTGTGACGTTTCCGGTAAACGAAACTCTAGCTTATTCATTTATATTTTCTTTCTTTCTTTTTCTTTCTTTTTCTTTCTTTCCTTCTTTCTTTCTTTCTTTCTTTCTTTCTTTCTTTCTTTCTTTCTCTTATATTCTAACAGCTATTTTTTGCTTCATCATTTATTCTTCCCTTTATTCGTTCATTCTTTTATTCGTTCATTCTCTTATTCATTCCACCCAGTTTAGAATTAAAAACATAGTCCAAATTCATCTTTTCCTTTCGTCTTAGGGCGTTCATTTCACTTTCTTTCTTTTTTCCTTGTTTTCTTTTTTCCTTTATTTCTTTTTCTTTCTGTCTTTCTTTATTTTTTGCTTTCTTTCTTTGATTTTTCTTTGTTTTTTTCTCTCTTTTTCCATTCTTTCTTTACTTCTTTCTTTCTTTCTTTTATGCTTTCTTTCTGTCTTTGTTTATTCTTATTTTTCTTTATTTGTTCTTTCTTTCTTCTTTCTTTCTTCTTCTTTCGTTTTCTTTCTTTTTTTCTTTTATTCCTTCTTTTTCTTTCTTTCTTTCTTCCTTTCTTTCTTTTTTGCTTTCTTTCTTCTTTCTCTCGTTCCTTCTTTTTTTCTTTCTTTTTCCCTTTTCGTTCATTTTTTTCTTCCTTTCTTTCTTCTTTGCTTTCTTTATTTCTTTTTCTTTCTTTCTTCTTTTTCCCGTTCCTTCTTTTTTTCTTTCTTTCCTTTTCTTTCTTTCTTTCTTTCTTTCTTTTTTCTTTCTTTCTTTCTTTCTTTCTTTCTTTCGCCGTTTCTTTCTGTTTTTTACTCTCTCACGTTCATCCCCCGCCCCCACCGCTCTTCCGTCTCCACCACCCAATATTTTTAGATTAAAAAAGCCCGCCATCAATCTTTAGTCTTTTTAATCTATTCCCGCCATTTTTTTTTTATTCATGTATTCCGTTGTTATTTCTTTAATTTTTGTTCTTGTTTTGTAGGCTGGTGGGTGATCTTTCCTTTTTCTTTTTCTTTTTTTTTTTTTTTTTTTTTTTTACCCAGCATGCCTGTCGACATTATTTAGCTATTTATTTTTGTTTTCTTTCTCTAAACTATACCAGTTCTTATCCATTGAAAACAGAGTTCAAGCTTAAGAAAAATGACAGATCGAATCAAGAAAATAGCCAACGACATCACCAGCTTTATAGCGGGTGACGCCTAAGGTTAATGATTAAACTCGTGCGATAGGCCCTTAAATGAAAGTGGATACACTTGAAAAAAAAAAATTGAAGCGTAGCAAACGACGCATTTTTTAATTTTCCTCCCATTTTTATTTTTCTTACCGTTTATTTTCTGACCCTGCTCTTTTCTTCCGGAGTTAGACGTGCTAAATTCCCCGTCATACACCAAACCTTAAAAAAAAAATGATTTAATCACAGGTGAATGAAATAATAGAGGATTTTGGTCAGTCTGGTGGTGATTTTTAGTAAAGCACACATTGGCCTTGTCCTTTGATGTTGACCGACATTCGCTTCTGTAGCCGTGGACAATAATGATTGCAGCAACAATAACAAGGCATTTTAATTTTATAAATCTCTCTCTCTCTCTCTCTCTCTCTCTATATATATATATATATATATATATATATATATATATATATATATATATATATATATATATATAATTTAATTTAAAGAAAAACGGACCATATATATATATATATATATATATATATATATATATATATATATATATATATATATATATATTTGGTTGATAGACGTGAGTTTGTGACCCTGGGTTTCACGCTTTAGCGATCGTCAGACAAACTGATTAATGTTTTAAAAATTTGGGTTTATGTAGATTGCGTGTATTGGTGTTATTGTGGAAGTGGTGGGGAAACGACAGGACTCATACATATATAAACATATGTGTGCATTTATATATGTATGAGTCCCGACGGACGACCAAGTATGTATCTGTGTCTGTGTCTGTATGTATATGTGTCTGCATACATCGATGTTTGCGTTAGTACGATGAATGACAAAACGACGAAGTTTCCCCACCACTTCCACAATAACACAATACATATATATATATATATATATATATATATATATATATATATATTTAATTTAAAGAAAACGGACCATATATATATATATATATCTTTCTCTCACACTCTTCTGTCTCTCTCTACCTTTCTCTCACTCTTTCTCTCTCGATTTCACTCTCTCTGTCTCTCTTTCTATCACTCTCTCTCTCTTTGTCTACCTCTCTGTTAGGAAGGGCTTAATTTTTCACGTTTTCTCGTATTTCTTGAAATCTAAGTGACCAAGCATAACAGACACACACACACTCAATACACAGACTTATATATATATATATATATATATATATATATATATATATATATTTCCACAAAAGTAAAATCCAGGTAGAGCTCTATGTACAAGAGAGAGCAAGAATATAATAAAAAAGGCTCAAACTCTAATATTCCATGGTTATAATTTATTGGAATCGTAATCACGATTCAATTCATCTGACCATTTATATGATATATATATATATATATATAATTATTTATTTAAAAATAGGATTCCAACAAGCTACATGTTTTTAAATAAATAATTATATTTATGCTCTACTTTTGTGTCGAGCACTATTTTTTAAAAATAATAACAAAAATACTAAAGAACTTTGGATTATTTACCTAACGAGTTCTTTCCTATTTTCTATATACTTTTCACATATATATATATAAATATATATATATATGTGTGTGTGTGTGTGTATACATATATATATATATAGAGAGAGAGAGAGAGAGAGAAAGAGAGGATGAGAGAGAAAGAGGATGCGATGGGTAAATTGTCGCCTTTTTGTAATTATATTTTCGAATATGGACGTTGTTTGCTTTTGATTTTATCGACTGCACAGAATTGTTGGGTCAGTTAGACACCGTCTCTGAGAATTGGAAACCATGACGCCATTCACTCGGCCAGAAATTTAGAAACGGCATGCACCAGAATCTCCAATGCGAACATTTCAGAGTGTTTGGGTGTCACTCTGAGGACAATGCAGAGGATTCGGAAAGAGTTGAATGAGTCTAATGGTGATTACGAAGGTGTTTGGAGCGATCACTAGTGATGGCTACATTATGCCTCCATTCGTATTAATCTTCCCACAGGGACTAAAAATCAACAGAGAGGGCCTACATCGGTGAAAGAGGTGGCTGAACGAAGACCCTATGTCTGGCAATAGAGTTGTGTAATTTTTTTGTAAATATATCTGTTAAAATGAAATGTCAGTGTTATTTTCCTGTTTGCATAATCTAGACGACAATTTATCCATCGCACCCTAAACTTATTTATTAGAAGCTTTATTTATATTTTATTATTTTTCACACGTGTATTGACTACTCTTGCCTCGTCTGATTAACCTCTGACCATTAACCTTTTGTGTATTATATATATATATATATATATATATATATATATATATATATATATATATATATATCATATATCAGTTATGTGTGTGCCATGCGTGATACACGCTTAAGCGATCATATATCTTTCGATACATAACTTGACGAAGATGATTTTTCCCGCTCAGTAGGTTGCCATTTCTTTCTGCGGTAGACCAGTTGCCATCCAAGGCTATAGAACCCTTTCTGTCCTGCTATTTACCCATATATATTACGGTGGATATATGGGTGGCTGAACGAAAAGTGATTCCAGTCGAATCCATTTTCATTCACTTACATGCTAATACCCTTGAGAAAGGTATGATTCCTATTCTTCTCCCCCTAGCTATTGGTAAATAGCAGGGCAGACCGGGTTCTATAGCCTTGGATGGGAACTGGTCTACCGAAGAATGAAATGGCAACCTACTGCAGGAAAAAATCTGCATTGTCAGTCATGTATCGAAAGATATATGATCGCCTAAGCGTGTATTACGCATTGCACATAACTGGCTGATATATTGTTATTATATATATATATATATATATATATATATATATATATATATATATATATATATATATATATATGTGTGTGTGTGTGTGTGTGCGTGTGTGTTTGATGAAAGCAGGTGCCGTTGCATTTGAAGATCAGAGGAAGAAACTAACGCCAGTTGAAAAGTGATCCCAGCAAAGGCAAAAATGTGCTAATACCCTTGGGAAAGGTGTGTATCCTCTGCTCCCCCCCCACCACCACCACCAGCTATGGGTAAATAGCAGGACAGACAAGGGTTCTATAGCCTTGGATCCCAGCAAAGGCAAAAATGTCGAACTCCCATTGGATGTCGGCATTGAATATGATCTGACATGTCTTCAATGTGGAAAAAATGCCTGTGTAGAGCGGGCCTCAAAAGTCACCAAGCGTTCCTGACTACATTGAGGATGGTCTGAAAATATGTCGACGTTCTGGAAAAGAGTGTACTTCAAGGGGGTGCTAAAGGAACAGATGGAAATAAGAAAAAACAGGTTTTTTTTTAAAAAAAAAAAAACAGTGCTCGATACAACCGTAGAGCATAATAATATAATTGAAAAAAGTAAGTTTGTATCAGTAGACAGATACCCCGCCCCGAGCTTGACCTGAACCGCTTGATACTTACAATACATTAGATACATGAGTTTTCTAAATAAGTTAGATCTTAAAACCCCCAAAATAAAAAAGATGGAATTTTCCTTTACCCAAAATCTCAAAATCTCAAATTTGTCTGGACTTATAAATTAACACTATTTACATTATTCGGAATATTGTCCTCATCTTTGTCGCCATATTTATTACGTTTCGGCCTTTCAGTATCTGTCTATATTTCTGAGATGAGATATTATGTACATTATTTACATTATTCGAACTATTTTCCACATCTTTGTCGCCATATTTATTACGTTTCGGCCTTTCAGTATCTGTCTATATTTCTGAGATGAGGTATTATGTACATTATTTACATTATTCGAACTATTTTCCTCATCTTTGTCGCCATATTTATTACGTTTCGGCCTTTCAGTATCTGTCTATATTTCTGAGATGAGGTATTATGTACACTATTTACATTATTCGGACTATTGTCCTCATCTTTGTCGCCATATTTATTACGTTTCGGCCTTTCAGTATCTGTCTATATTTCTGAGATGAGATATTATGTACACTATTTACATTATTCGGACTATTGTCCTCATCTTTGTCACCATATTTATTACAACATTTCGGCCTTTCAGTATCTGTCTATATTTCTGAGATGAGGTATTATGTACATTATTTACATTATTCGAACTATTTTCCTCATCTTTGTCGCCATATTTATTACGTTTCGGCCTTTCAGTATCTGTCTATATTTCTGAGATGAGGTATTATGTACACTATTTACATTATTCGGACTATTGTCCTCATCTTTGTCGCCATATTTCTTACGTTTTGGCCTTTCAGTATCTGTCTATATTTCTGAGATGAGATATTATGTACACTATTTACATTATTCGGACTATTGTCCTCATCTTTGTCACCATATTTATTACAACATTTCGGCCTTTCAGTATCTGTCTATATTTCTGAGATGAGGTATTATGTACATTATTTACATTATTCGAACTATTTTCCTCATCTTTGTCGCCATATTTATTACGTTTCGGCCTTTCAGTATCTGTCTATATTTCTGAGATGAGGTATTATGTACACTATTTACATTATTCGGACTATTGTCCTCATCTTTGTCGCCATATTTATTACGTTTCGGCCTTTCAGTATCTGTCTATATTTCTGAGATGAGATATTATGTACACTATTTACATTATTCGGACTATTGTCCTCATCTTGTCACCATATTTATTACAACATTTCGGCCTTTCAGTATCTGTCTATATTTCTGAGATGAGGTATTATGTACATTATTTACATTATTCGAACTATTTTCCTCATCTTTGTCGCCATATTTATTACGTTTCGGCCTTTCAGTATCTGTCTATATTTCTGAGATGAGGTATTATGTACACTATTTACATTATTCGGACTATTGTCCTCATCTTTGTCGCCATATTTATTACGTTTCGGCCTTTCAGTATCTGTCTATATTTCTGAGATGAGATATTATGTACACTATTTACATTATTCGGACTATTGTCCTCATCTTTGTCGCCATATTTATTACAACGTTTCGGCCTTTCAGTATCTGTCTATATTTCTGAGATGAGGTATTATGTACATTATTTACATTATTCCAACTATTATCCTCATCTTTGTCGCCATATTTATTACGTTTCGGCCTTTCAGTATCTGTCTATATTTCTGAGATGAGGTATTATGTACATTATTTACATTATTCGAACTATTTTCCTCATCTTTGTCGCCATATTTATTACGTTTCGGCCTTTCAGTATCTGTCTATATTTCTGAGATGAGCTATTATGTACACTATTTACATTATTCGAACTATTGCCCTCATCTTTGTCGCCATATTTATTACAACGTTTCGGCCGTTTTACGCTCCGGCCTTCTTTAGGTGGTTGGTATGTCGAACTGAACCCTTTATTTCACTCGCTAGGATAGACTGTTCTAGTTCCATGTGCCATGTCGAATGGATGTCAGTTATCATTTATCTCCTGTTATTTCCCCTATCCAATTTCTCCACTCACACACTTTGGGTCACTGGATCTAACCAAGGCCTTCATCCACTCTGCCATGTGTCCTTGAGGACATCTGTGTATGAACATCTGGGTATTATAAACCTAATAATTTCAGCAACAATTTTTTACCAGAGCTCATATTATAATTTTTTTTCCTCTGGCACTCCTTGTTACTTGTTCCTGTATTGTATTCATAAATTAAGTAAATCAATTTCTAAAAAGTTATTCATTCATGATTGAATTTGATTGCGATGATTATATATTTTTTAAAAAAACAATTATATATATATATATATATATATATATATATATATATATATATATATATATCCGACAGAATGAAGAAAATATCTGGAAAAACAAAACAAAAATCCTTAAAAATGCGATTATATTTTTTAATATGAATGAAATTCATATTAAAACAACATAATCTCATTTTAAGGATTTTGTTTTGTTTTTCAGATATTTTCTTCATATATATATATATATATATATATATATATACAGTGTAACCCGGATATAAGAGACTCAGATATAAGAGAAACCCGGATATAAGAGAGATTTTCTCTTGTCCCAAATTAGAGCCTGTGTTAATGTATATAAAATAGACCAAACCCGGATATAAGAGAAACCCGGATATAAGTGTCTTCTTCTCCGGTCCCGACAACTCTCTTACATCCGGGTGACACTGTATATATATATATATATATATATATATATATATATATATATATATATATTGAGTGCTGCTGTTAATAAAATAGTGCTCTATGCAATATAACAAAGCTATAAATTATTTAAACTATATATTGACAATATAAACTATATATTAATATAAACAATATAACAAAGCTATAAACTATATATATATATATATATATATATATATATATATATATATATATATATATATATATATATATATATATATATAAATAAATATATATTTTTTAGTCACGGAGTTTCATGCTAACACAATCTTCAGGTGCTGAGTTAAGTCACTTTTAACAGAATCAGATAGATAGATAGATAGATAGATAGATAGATAGATAGATAGATCATAAATATACTCAGATAGATAGATAGATAGATAGATAGATAGATAGATAGATAGATAGATAGATGAATTATTTTTATATGTATGATAATTTCCTGATAATAAGAAATATGTTCTGTCTTCGATCTCTGAACAATGTTTTGAATACACATACAAACATGCACACGCACAAACACACACACACACACACATATATATATATATATATATATATATATATATATATATATATATATATATATCTGATGACTAATGGTCATGGGACTCGCCAAATCCAAAGACATTTCTCAGGGAAATGGCGCCATTTTCCCCAGATCAAGGACAGGTATCATTTGCATGTCGGCTTGACCTGTCATATTTATTTTATGTTCCCCTTTGAATAACGCTGTGAAAGCCAAACGCGAAACGTCACCTGCTAAAAACTAAAGAAACCCCTTTGCCTCACTTACATTATACTACGCCCTGTCAGAAAATCGTGAGTAGACATCTTGTTTTTCCTTTTTTGTTTTTGTTTACTGATAAATATTCTTGTAGGACTATCCATCAATAACCAATCAATTAAAAGCCATAGACTGAAATTATGATCACCTAAAATATACAACTTTTTTACGGTTTGTCAACCCTTTTATAGGTTATTTAAAGACATAATTTTATATATATATTTTTAGATCGTATGAAAGTTGTTCAATTTTTTTTTGGTGCGATAATAATGGTTTAGTGATACAAGTTTTTCTAATTAACTACAAAAGGCGTATTCATTGGTTTGGTGTTGTTCATTTTGTTTTATGGTATATCAATACCTCCATGGGTTATTCAACGCTGACAAGATTTTTAGGATAGGTTCATATGAATAGAATATGGATTCTTTGTAAGAAATCGTTTTGTAGATCAGGTTTCATTGACGTAAAGAGGGTTTTTTTCCAAAGTCAAATGTATTGCTAGTATTTTTTTTTTTTCAAAAAAATGCTTGTAATATTTTTTTTTCATTTATTGCTGGTACTTTTACTTTAAAAATATATTTTTATACCTTCGTATTTTTTTGAACGCAATTTGCTGGTTAACTATTTTTCCATAGCTGGGACCCTAACAGATGGGTCAGGGTGGACCCGGGAACAACAGCAATTAAGAGATGGTTCCACACTCCTCAAAACCACCCAATCAGAGGCCCATGCTGCCGGATGTAGTTTGTCGTCATACCCAGGAAGCGGTGTATTTATACGTAAACAAGGAATGTGGTTTTTAAATGAGATATCAATCCTATATCATAAACAATATATAATCTGATCCCTCACTTAATAGCCATGGTTGTTTCTATGCATTTCTATTCCAGAGAATGTAAATAAATCTAAAAGACATTCCTTTGTAACTAATCAGTATTTGATTGATTCGTTTTTTTACGGCTTATCAACCTTTTGCAGGCTATTTAAAGCGAGAATATTTTCTTTATTAAGACTTTTTCTGTTTTTTTTTTTTAGATAATAATGGTTAGTGTTACAAGTCTTACTAATTAACCCATAGCTGGGGAGAAGAGGCGGATTCATACATTTCCCAAGGGTATTTTCACGTAAATGAATAAAACGAACCCAAAGGGAATTGGAACTCGGCTCTCCGATTATCAATTACGAACCATTATCCATAACACCACCCGTACATCCAAGCTTACAGCACCTGGTATTCCCAATTGGTCACCCATCTAGGTGCTGATCAAGATTGAGGTTGCTTAACTTCGGTGAATGGATAAATCGAGAAAGTAATATATATTCTAAGGACAGCAACGGATATCTGTGTTTCAACCTCCTGTAGCCGTAGGCCTTTGTTTTACGTGATGCAATATATATATATATATATATATATATATATATATATATATATATATTATGGATTGGACAAAGTCCGACAATTATTTTAAAACATTTTTATGTTTATACATTCTTTTTATAGATACAAATATTTAAGTAAATGCTCTGTTTTATAATAAACAGTATTAACGACATTTACCGGCCTGAATGTCCGAGGAATCGATATAGGATACAGGTTCGATTCCTGTCGAAGGACGAATATTTTCCATGAAAATTTCTCATACATATATAAACATATGTGGGCAGTTTCGGCTATGACACATGTATGTATACGGGTGGTGTTATATCTATACATACGCATTTGTATGTTGAAATGTTGAAATTTAAACATTCGAAGTGTGGCGGAAATGTCTCGTTACTGTATACATGTCATATTAAGTGTTTTCGCGCTGAAAAATATTTCCTCGCATGTATGTATATGCGTGTGGTGGGGTTTGTGTAAAATTATGATAGGTAAAAATTATTATTATTTATATTTATTTTTAAATTTTAAAAAAAAATGGGGGTTTATATGTTATATTTAAAGCTGGTTATTTGTTTGTTTTTGGTGACTGTGTATATGTAACTGGTACAAATTTGTAATCCTTATTGGATAATTTATATGGTGATGTTTAGTTTAATATTCAATGTGCTGGGTGAGAGGGTAGTTCAATTTAATAATGGGTCTATATGATATGATGTGATAGCAATGTTTCAAGGGATTGGAGACAATGATAGTTAGCTAATAGTTGTTGTAAATTGGTAGAAATTGTAAATTGGTAGAAATATATATATATTTCTAATGAAAGTTGACGTGTACATTTATTGTAACCATTTGTATCAGTCTTTAAGTTAATGTCTGGATGCTGTTATATGTCTAATCTTGGCCATGACACATTTCTAATTTCTATTTTTTAATTTTTTTTTTCGCTTAGTTTGAATTAAACGTAGGTTATATTCGATTGGTTGATCAGTCTCTCAAGCCTTATTTTAAAAAAAAGGGATGTATTTTGCTTTTAAAACAAATTTAATCGTTCACTCGCTAATAATTTACAATCGTCTGCGGAGACGCATTGTTATGCGTTGAAACACGACTACAATTGTGTAGCGATTCTTACATGTTTTTGTTGTAATATCCTTAAATATATATATATATATATATATATATATATATATATATATATATATATATATATAATTAAGTATTTCATCGAGTCTAGAAGAATCCACAACAGAATGCCCAAAGCATTGGACGGCGGTTTCTTCCTATATATGGGACTCATCAGCAGTGGGCATCTTCTGCCGAAAATCAAACCCGAGCCGTTACGATACGTCACAGGCGTCATACCAATTGTACCAACTGGCCACGTTGGCTAAACGGTAGCCAATTAGACCCGATATAATACCGTTCTTCACAAATTCCGTGGTGTAACTCATCCGAGTTTCCCTAACCCAACGGTCTGTGCCCCCCGAGCCACGTCTTCTTTCCTCAAACCGCCCTATCAAAACCATTAGAAGCCGGTTCAAACAACGATGTACAAGTGATAGAAATTATTAGAAGGATTTAAGATTATCATAAGTAATTCGTGGAGACGAGAAGAATCCTCAACAGAATGCAAAACGAATTTGTGAAGAGCGACGCTCTATCGAATCTAATTAGTTAAGTCTTCGACACCGAGGCCCGTTGGTACAGTTGGTATGACGCTTGCGCCGTATCGTAACGGTCCGGGTTCGATTCTCAGTACTGGATGCGCATTACTGATGAGCGCCAAATGTAGCACGAAACGGCTGTCCAGTGTTTTCTGCATTCTGTTGAGGATTCTTCTGGACTCGCTGAATAATCCTCCTATACACACACATATATATATATATATATATATATATATATATAGTGCTGTTCGATAAAAGTTACTCACCTTATCTTTTTTACTAAATGTTCTCTTCTCCGATGAAACGAAAGTTGAGCTAAATTCAAAGGATAAGCGATCTAAAATCCGAAGAAGAAGCTTTGAAAGCTCTTTGAATTTAGCAGTAAGTACTGTCAAGCATCCATTCAGTATAATGTTCTGGGGATGCATTTCTTTTCATGGAACTGGTTTCTTGAAACCTATTGAAAAGACCCTCAGGAGCGAGCAGTAGAAGAGAATTTTAGAGTCTTGTCTGCTCCCTTCTGCTGAAAGGGTTTAAATCGACCCCACAAAGTTCATTTTTATGCAGGATAATGCTCCCTGTCACAAATCAAAATTGATGAAGGAATACTTTGATGAGAAGCAGGTGAGTGTTATGACATGGCCACCCCAATCTCCTGACCTCAATCCCATAAAAAATTTATGGAGCATTATAGGCTCTCGAGTAAGCAGTTGAGCAACAAATAGGATTTGATTGTGAATTTCATATCCGAATGGAATTCAATGCTTGGAGATGAGATTTGCCAGAACCTAATCAAGTCAATGCCAGAAAGGGTTGAAAAGGTTATTCAGAATAAAGGAGGACCCATAGATTGTTAAATATTTCGAACTATATTACCTACTAGCAGTAGAGCCCGGCGTTGTCCGGGGATGTAACAGTAAGAGATAGATCAAGTATCGACCATCATAAAGACTGAAAAATAAAATTGACAAAGATTATTGTTTAAGGTTGACGGACACGCATGTGTTAATTAGTTTTTTTTTTTACGAATTGGTCAAACCCAAACTCAAACAAAAACATTGTTTTCAATCGTTATGAATCTACCGATTGAATAGAATTTTATTATAAACAATTGTCTTGTAAATGGAATTTTTAAAGCATTCTGAATGTAAAAATAAAGAAAAAAGTGTGCAAGACAATAAGAAACACTACCTGCCAAAATAAAGTGAAGTTTCGTTGAAATCGGTTGAAAAATGTAGGAAATCCGATCCCATATATAAACGAACACACACACACACACACACACAAACAACCTGGGTTTTATAATAAGTATAACTCGATATGAGTTGTTCCCCTTTCATTCCCGACAGCAATGCCTCTTAATCCTGTTTTCAAATTGAAATCGTGCACAAACAATTGTTTTTCCAATTTTTTGGCGCTGTCAGAACCACCGCAAGGTAATTTTACGTAGTCCTGTGAAGTTTTGATGAAATCGGTTGAAAAATGTAGGAAAACCGATCCAATATATAAACGTACAGAAACACACACAACCTGGGTTTTATAATAAGTATGATTATAAATAAATTATACCTCCATTATTCTTTATTTAAAGCTGTTCGGTTATGTTTCTATTGATTACTAGTTGCAGGAAATAAGTGAGTTACTTTTTTTTTGCACAGAGTTTTTCCCTAAATCTCATATCCAAAATTATAATTATCTATAGAATACTTTAGGGTGAGTAAACTTTTTTACAAGGTGGTCGGGAAGGGGTCTTTATATTAGTAAGATTAAAAATTACTTTGACCCCAAAAACAATAGGCGAAAAAAAATTTTTTAAAAAAATCAAAAAATCAGGTGAATCACTTTTATCGAACAGGAGTGTATGTTTGTGTGTGTGTCAATTTAATCACCTTCGATGTAACCCCCTTCCGAAGCCACACACTTTAATCAGCGTCGTTTCATTCCTTTGGCTCCTTTTGGGGATAGCGAGCAGCTGCCAGATCGCATTTTCCTGGATTAACTCGACGTCTTAAAATCTTCCTTCCAAGTGGAATTTTGCTTTTTGAGGAGGAAGAGACTAAGGCTATATAGTGGTTGTCAGTCCTGGGGAATGTCGTACTTGCCAAAAACAAGTCATGGTCACTGCTGAAACCTCCGTGGTGTGATGAGACTACCACACTCTACACCCTTTCCTTCAAAGCACTGCTATAAGCAATGGAATTAAGCGAGGACGTTATACACTTAGTGTGCATGTGTCACTGTTCTTTGGACTGTTCAGTCTGAAGTCGGACGACCGGCTGATCTGTTGAACTCTCTGCCTTCGGGCGGGGAGGAACCCGGACGAGGCTACGCCGAAGAGCGGAGTCTCTTTCGGGGAGGTAAACCGACCCTGAACCCGTTTATACTGGTTCAAAGGGCATATTTTTTGCCCGAGCCCACGGGCTCGGAGATCCCACGTTAAACCGGCCTTGTGCCACATCACGCCCTCGTGGTGGGGGTGTGACTAAATACTGTTCTTTGGACTGTCATAGCTAAAACTCCTCTCTTACGTGCCAAAAGTCTTATAAATTGGGTTGGATTGTTTCTAATTGATCACTTTAGCTCTAAGTTGGAATAATGATCCCTATTCCTGTTGTGATCTCCTGATCCTTTGTTCTATTGATGATGAATGTTGGTACCATTACTGAAGACCTGAATGATTTTTTTCTCTCACTTTGCTCATTTGAGAAGACAGTAAGGTTGATACGTAACAAATGTAACATTTTTTTCTTTTCAGTTGATTAACTCTAAGGGTTGTTTTTTTATTAGTCAAGATGGCTAAACATCTGATCCGAAAATTTGAAAAAAAGCAACAATTAGTTTAGTGTTTTTTTGTTTTTTTTTGTTTTTGTTTTTTTTTTTTTTTTTTTTGGCGGTGGGGGGTTAGACATTTTGCTGGATGGATAATTATGCTCTTATACGATTTAGACAATTTTGCTGTTACACTTAGTACATTGCATACATATTCTTTTCTTCACTGTAGTTTCTATATAATATCTTCCCGCATTTCTGTCATGCCAACAACAAGCAAAATAAAAGTACTTCCTTGTGGCAGGTTCTAGAACCTGTTTAGGGAGGAAAGTACTTGTTGGTTTAAAAATGGCGATTCTCTCCCTTTCGTTGAGATGGTCAGGTGACGGCCGATGACTGACGCCAGGAGATAGATTGACGAAAGGCAGTTGCTTTGTAGAGCCGAGAGAAGAAGTACGTCTCAAGCCCATAACATGTTTTACAGGAAAAGCCACACGGCCTCACCTGGTTTGTAGAGAAACCGTCAGAACTCCAGTTTTCCCTTCGGTAAATATTGCAAGTTAGGTTCCCCTTTCTTGCACGTCTTTTGTTGTATATATGTTATAATTTCACTGCGTGGGACA